GGTCAGCAGATGAGAGTGATGGAAGAAGGAGTAGAGAAGAGGTGTTGAAATTTTGAGAGAACTTGAGAAAAGGGAAGAATAGCATCCTAGAGAATAGAGGACTTGATTCTCATTGAATATAAACTATAAACTTATGAACAAAAATAGATACAGAGGCAGAGCTGCCTCAAACACACAGTCAAACTACAGCGGGAAAGCCGGGGAGGATTGAGGGGCGGGGGACGGGGGGGAAGAGAGAAACAGAAACCTGGATGCAAATAGATACAGAGGCAGAGCTGCCTCAAACACACAGTCAAACTACAGCGGGAAAGCCGGGGAGGATTGAGGGGCGGGGGACGGGGGGTAAGAGATCAACCGAAAGACTTGTATGCATGCATATTTCATAACCAATGGACATAAGACACTGGGGGGTAGGGGAGGCCGGGGATTGTTAAGGGCAGGAAAAAAAGGAGACATATGTAATACTCTTTGTAATACTTTAAGCAATAAAACAATTTAAAAAAAGTAAGTATAATTTTTCTTTCAATTCAAGTTTGTATTCTAGATTTAAGTCAGCCTCAACTGCTCTCTTGGTAGACAGCTTCTAAAGAGAGGATTTTTAGATGTAAGGGTCAGTTATAGGGGTAAAATTCAATTGTTCCTCTCACACTATCTTATTTTCTAAGGTAGTGACTAGTCAGAAAAACAAAACAAAACAAACAAAAAAAACTTTTGGTAGCAAATAATTATCAGTTGAATTTAAAGCCATTACCTATATGTGGCTTTGTCTAGAAGATGCTCAAATCTCAAAGCCTTGCACATTTCCATTATAGAAGCTCTCCTGAATTCCTCTGTCCCTGGTGTTGTGCCCAACCTGAATATCAATCACACTCTCAGATTTCAGCCTACATGAATAGACATTTTAACTGGATTTTCCCTGGAGTGACATATTGAGTACATGCTACCCATAAGTCTTGTACAGAATCTCAGGAGCTAGAAGATTATCTTGTCAAAGCAAGGGATTATGTACTAAAATTCCTCTGGAGGTTTTATTTTATTTTAATCTTTATTGTTGAAAGTATTACATATGTCCCATTTTTCCCCCTATTTACCTCTCCTAACCAGCCCCTACTACAGTGGTTTTATTTTTACTATCTTCCATCATGAATTTCCTGGGCTTTTTAGGGTTACTTTTGCTTTGTTTTCATTTATTTTATTTATTTTAGATGCACTATGGAAAAGTGGTGGTAAATGCTTATACTTCATAGGCACATAGTCAACCTTAGGTTGAATCTTGAACTTATCATTTTCTAGTTGTGAAAACTTGAATAAGTTCATGATTTTTTCATTTGTAAAATAGGAATAATAATAAAAACCTACCTCAAAGTCATTATGAAGAGTAATTGAGATAATGCATGTAAATGTGTAACAGTTTGATACAGTAGACAATCACACATGTTTACTGCTACTACTACTACTACCACCACCACTAACAGCACAATCATTATTACTGTCTTAGTTTGTTTGAGCTAATATAAGAAAATGCCACAAGACTAATTAGCCTATAAACAAGAAAGTTCTCACAGTTCTGGAGGCTGAAAGCCCAAGATCAAGGAAGGGTGATGGTCCTCACATGGTAGAAGGGACAAGGGATCTCTCTAAAGTCTATTGTATAAGGCATTTATCCCATGAATGTGGGCTCCACACTCATGACATAAGCATCTCAAAAATTACCAACCTCCTAATATCATTAACTTTGGGGGCTAGGATTTCAACATATGGATTTTGAGGGGACCTAAACTTTCAGGCCATAGCAACAACATATTTGATTACTGTGAAGTATAATGTGGTGAGTGGTAGAAGAAAAGAATTCTCTTTACTCCTTAAGGGGGTAGGGGGAGGGGTGAGAAGAGATTAACCAAAGAACTTATATGCATGTATGCATAACCCATGGACAGATATTAGTGTGGTGAAGGCCTGGGGGGTTGGGAATTGGGTGGAGGGGGTCATTAAGGGAAAAAAAGGGGGACATATATAATACTTTCAACAATAAAATTTTTTTTTAAAAAAAGAAAGAGAGCCTTACCCAGTGGAGGAAACGATCTTTGTTAACAAAAGAAGATTCAATGAAATATGTATCAAATCTGATATTCTTTAAAATTATTATACTTCTAATTGAGCGAATTTTTCCACAAACAGCTTATTTGCCTTCAAAGACAAAGCAATTGCTTAACTAACACAATTATTCTACTAGTTGGTATAATGCACATTGAGTCAATTGTGGGATATGATTATTTATTTTTCCAGGGAGAAACGGTAAAGATGCCAGATAATATCTATTATGCAATTACAAAGCTCTTAAAATCCAGTTCTTGACCAGGGATACTGGGTTGTACTGTTGTACTGAAGGATAATTCTTTTGGAAATTAATAACATAGATGCTTTAAAATGCTATTTGTAATAATAATAAAGCATATTATACATG